ATGTAGGCATCTGCTTGAGATTGGAAACAGTAATCATACAAGTCCCGGTTCAGACTGTGCCCCTCTGGTGGAGTCTAACACAGTCCTTCTGGTTTAGCTGTCATACTGCTGGTGTGAGACTGGTGTGGTTCTGGGTTGTAGAAAAAAACTTTAAACCTCAGACAACAAAGTAATGCCTTTGGATCACTGCAGAATCATAATTTCTTCTACTGTTCAGCAAGGCAGAAGGATAAATAATTTGACTCATTTCACTAGTGAACATGTGATTTGGTAAGCTGATGTCATTATCTGATGTGCTTTTCCTAGCTGGTGAGGCACTACCTTTAGAGTAAGCATAGAGCTAATCCTGGGCAATCATTAAAGTTCTCAAATATGTTAATAAACAGATACAGTGTAGGTTTCAACATGGTTGCTTTTTCAATTGAAGGCTTTTCCATTCCCAGAAGATTGCCGTGTACACTCATGGTTCCTGTTTAGGTTTCCCAGCCATTTAAGTCCCCTTGATTTAAATCATAGCTGCTCGGAGAATGTAGCTCAGAATGGGCAATGAATTACTTGGACATCAAGTGCAGTAATGGAAGAGATCACAGTCCAGGGTCACCTTGGCTAGTAAGATGCTGATCAACTAATGGAGCAAGCAGTATACTAGAAGCCAACTTGATTCTCCAAGTGCCAGTCTCTATGTAATGAAAACAGTACCATCTATGCAGATTAGTGAAGTATCAGCAAGTTTGGGGAATCCCAGTGAAACAAGCTTGGAGCATTGAGAGAACCTAAATGGGAGTGGGCTTAAAAACCACTGAAAGAGGTGTCACTATGCCCAATATACACCAAATGCTGACTAGTGGCAGGCAGATGAACCAGGAAGGAAGGAAGGAGACAGGCATGGAGTATGCTGGAAGGGCACATGGATGGTGAAAGCCTGAGTGGCACTCCGCATGGCAACATTTTCTGCAGGTCTCACTTCTCGTATATATCCTGCCTGTTTTCAAGAGACTCAAGGTAGCTAATATAATGCTCCTCCTCCTCCTCCTCCTCTAAATCTTATCCTCACAATAAAAGAGCCTGTGACTGGTCCGGAGTAACCCAGTCGGCTCCATGACCAAGTGGGGAACTAGAACCCAGATCTCCTGAATCCCAGTCCTGCATTCTTATTTACTTACTTACTTACTTAGGAGATTTATAGGCCATCCATCACTGTCATTTCTGGACAGCTTATTCTTAATCACCACACAACATTGGCTCTTTTATAGTGGCTCTAACTGGTACCACCAGAAAGGACCAAATCAGTTTTGATCATGTTTTGCTGTAAGATTACAGTCTTTTCGTTACTGTTTGCTGCCTTTTGTTTCCCTTGGGAAAGTAAGATGGCATTCTTCTCTGTATCAATTATTTATTAAATGAAGGTGCATACACACACTCCACAACCCTGGTCCTGCTTTCCAGCGGACAACTTTGCCTTTCCACACAACCTCATCTCTCCAGAGGTGTTCCTTGAACAGTTTACTACATAAGCTTTTCCTCAGAGTGCTGCCACAGTAACTTCTGAGGAAGGCATATATCAAATCAAATTTGATCTATTTATTTGTATAGTCTTCATGCTACCACAAAACAAACATTTAACAAAAGGAATCAAATAGCTATAAAAATATTTACATAAAGTTAACACAAACCCAGTTCATCAGAATAAATTTAAAATGCATTTGGCACTAAAATAAATAGTTTGAACATGAATCTATATAAAATCACTCATGAATTTAAAGTTCTCGGTCTCCCTGATAAGGCACAGGATTCTCCTTTAAGAATTGTTCTCAGTGGAGTGTAGCTCTGACTTACCCAACCTGGGACCTTCCAAATGCTGTAGATTTCAGCTCCCATCATTCCCAGCCACCATGGGCAATAGTCAGGAATGCTAGGAGTTCGGTCCAAAACATCTGGAGGGCATCAGGTTGTGGGAAGCTGCTGTTGATTAAAAACTTGGCGGTCTTTGCAGTTAAAGATTTCAATTGGTGCAGAGTAAGGCAGTGAGGCTGCTGACGAGGACTGGCAGATACAAGCAAATAACGCCAGTCTTCTACCATCTGCCTTGTTTGCCAGTTGAAATCCAGGCCCAATTCAAAGTGTTAACACTAGCATTTAAAGCTCTGAATGGCTTGGGGCCAGGGTATCTAAAGAAGCGTTTCTTCCCATATGTGCCTACAGGGTCCCTTGAATCACCACTAGAGGTTCTTCTCAAGCAGTCCCTTCTCCAGAAAATGAGGGTGGCTACAAGGAGAAGGGCCTTCTCAGTAGTGGCAACCCAACTCTGAAATCAGCTGCCCAAAGAGGTTTACCTGGTGCCTTCTTTTCATTCTTTCTGGTGCCAGGCAAAGACCTTTTTATTCACTTGATATTTTAATTGTTAAGACAAATTTAATGATTTTATAATACCTTTTATCTTATTTTATATCTTGTTGTTGTTTATATCTTTTATTATGTCTCTGTTGGCAAAAGATTTGAAGTTTTGTGAAGTTTTATAATGGCACTTGGTTCCTTGATCGTTGGATTTTACTGTTGTATAATTTGTTAGTTTTAATATTACCCATTTTATTGTATATTTCTAATCATTTAACCCACCCAGGGAGCCTTCCTGGCTAATGGGATGGGATATAAATCCAATCAATAAATAAGGATAAGAAAAGCTATGCTGGATCAGACTGAAGGTCCATCTAGTCCAGCACTCTGTATAAATGGCAGCAAAACAGCTGGCCAAAGGATCTCTCAAGCAGGATGGGGGTAAGACCTCAACCTGCCCAAGCTCCTCAGCAACTGGTGTATGCAGGCATGCCATCTCTGATAAGGAGGCAGCCTTATATAGCCAGCAAGGCTAATAGCCACAATAGCTTCCTCCTCCATGAATTTGTCCAACCTCCTTTTAAAGCCATCCAAATTAGTGGCCATCAGCACTTCATGTGGCAGCAAAGTTCATAGTTTAACAATACATTGTGAGAAGAAGTACTTCCTTTTATCTGTCTGAAGCCTCTCACCAATCAGCTGCATGGGATGACCCTGTGTTCTAATGTTATGGGAGAAGGAGAAAAATATCTCCCCCTCTACTTTCTCCACATCATGCCATACATATCTCTATTATGACTCCCTTTACTTTTCTTTTTTCTAAGCAGAGCAGATTGTTACAGTACCATGGACAGACCATCCAAACTATTTCTAAAATCTGGCCCAAATATTGTTCACTCAGCATATTATACAAAGGGCAATATATAATAAGATGTGCAAGATATTCTACCTGTTTTAAGCCACAAGGACAGGAACACTCAGAATATGGCCTGTTCCTACTAACAGAGCTGGGAAGGCTTTCATTGCACAGCCAAGCAGTCTGAGGGAAAAAGCCTGACTTTAAATATCCGATTTTATTTTATGGTGGAGCATAAAAAGATATTAAACTGATAGGCTGGAATGATCATCTGGCTCACCCAGCAGCATCAAAAGTGAATCAACATCCCTCAGATATTCTCAGGTTCTGAAGATTACCTTACATCAGACCAGTACGATTCTCAGCCTGCCAAACACAGCACCAGCCATGCATGGCAGTCTGCGAGAAGTATGATAAACTCATGTCTTTGCTCCCTGCCCAAGATTGTCACAACTGGGGGTAGGGGTGGTAGAACTGTCCAATATGTTATAGGCCACGGCACATGGCTGGATGCTGACTGTGTTCAGCTTGGGGGTGGTTACAAACAGGGAAATCTTGGTATGCTTGTGATTCTTGTTCCCTGAAGCAAAATAATAATACACATTTGCAGTCACAGAAAGGAGTTCTGAATGCAGCTCCAGATGTTTGAAGTGATTTCAGATCCAGAGAAAAATAACAGGAATGCTGATACACTTAAATGCTACTCATTTAACTAATAAGGAGGGCTGAAGAGACCCATTAAGTCACGTGCAGCAACAATAGGGAACAATGATGGCTTAAGCTATCGGGGAGACTGATTATAAGGATTAGTCTGTATCAGACTAGAACATTTGCCAGAAAACATCCAAATGTGGCACACTGTTTTCTGATCAGGGAGAAATTCCGATCTGATTTGTAGAAAGAAGAGATGAGAAAATTGGCAAGCCCAAGCTCACTGGCATTTTCTGATTTCAGCTTCAGAGCTTGGCTCAATTCATCTCACTCCAGAATGCAAATATTTGTGGGGGTCTGTCTGCCAGGAATACCTTGGAAAAGGATGTACCTTTTATTTAAGGGCAGTGAATCCAGCTTTCCAGAACATATGGTCATACTGGCACTGAGCACGATTTTGGAAACCCCTGGACTTAAACAGCAGTAAGTTCTACTTTTCTGCTCCTTTTTTTCCCATGGTAATCCATCCAGCTGCTGAAAATTCTACACTGTGAGTTAGGAGATTCTGCTGAATGGGGTGATCTGGGTATAGGAGAAGAGGTTTCTTCAAAAAAAATCAGAAGAAGGGGACTTCCATGAATGGAGCCCTTCCTTTTGTGGGAGGGAGATCCTGGATATGACCTGATAATGTATGATGTATTACCCCTTCTCTGATCAGGTAGGATGAGAGAATCTACACAGGATCGGAGCAGTAAATCGCTTATTGTTCCTAATGGACAGTGAGGTTGCAGCAAAATAGCTGAAATCTAAAAAGATTTTACTGGCTATGTTGGGTATTTTTGTGGACTTCCGGGATGCACTGAAGACTCCTTTAACAAAGATACACAATTGGTGTCTAATACTAAAAGAATATCATACAAGCTCATGGGTTTTTGGAAGTTTTTTCCTTCTAATGAGTGTGGAAAACTTTCCCACCACTTCCCCTACTGAGTCTTAAGCCTCATGCTGCAGCTTGTTCTCTCAATCTGTTCTGTGAAACCCTAATCATCTACAAAGCAAAAATATCATGCTCCCAAGCAGTAGGGGGAACAACAGTGTTCAAGATGTCTGCTTCTGAAACATCACCTATAGCTCCAGAGCAGCATTTCCAATCACCTACCCAAAAAGAATCAGCAGGAGAGCAGTAGCTGCCAAGTTCTCACAGAAAGTGAAGGCTGATAGCTGGAAGATGCTAATAATGCCAATACACAGGCCGACAGAAACAAGATACAAAAGCTGCAACTCAAAAAGCAAAGCATTAATATTGATGTTCTTTATGCAAATATCACCAGTTAATGTTGGATGTAAATTGATTTGCTCCAAGCAATTCTCATCCATCTTGTAATTACATTGCCCAATAGGAAATGCACCTTGCATTCTGCAAGTATCCATATATTCCTGGCTGCCACTGAAAACTCCCATACCCCAGTCTCTTAAAACATGTGTTGGAGAAAGCTAACACACATACATGCATGGCTCGTCCCACTTTCAGATGCATGCTCCTGGCTGCTACCACAAATTTGCCTTTCCTAATCCAAGTGCATGGAAGAAGAAAATGACTGCCACAGAGCTCTCTGAGTGGCCATGGGACATTTTGGATCCCCTATCTAAGCTCAGAGAAAGCTTGCTGACCTTGGAGGGAGCACTGGGGATCTCCCCACCCGCAGCTGACACAGACAGAACATGCCAGTTGCCTCTCCCACGGAAAGCAAGCTCAGAAATGTGGGAAAGGGGCATTTCACTTGGGAGGTCAGGAAGCAACCAAGCCTCAAGCTTCTCCAGTCTCTTTCCCTCCCCGCTGCAAATGCTTTCATTAAATTGTCCAAAAAAGTCCATCTAACAAAAATACAGAGCACAAGGATGGGGAGCAGAAGATTTCCTTTGCCACTCCTCCCATCCTGCACAGGATAAGAATAACCTTCCAAGTGCAGAGGCTTGCAGAAAACAGAATAGGATTGTGGCCCAGGTAACATGAAGCATATCCAAGCATTTGGTGTATTCCTTAATAGTGTAACAATTCCAGTTTTCTTGTTGCTTAGTAAATGTGTTGCTTTCGGCTAAGCATGTGCCAAACATCAGGCTTCTAGATGTGAGAAGTGCCCCAACAATGTTGACACTGCATGAGTGCGTTTGTGGATCTGTCTGTTCCAAGCATCTTAGCACTGAAAGAGGTCTGAGATATTGCCAGAGATGTGAATACCTAGGAGCGGAGGAAGCAGAAGCAATCGGTGGTGGTGGGGGGGGGGTGTTTTAATGCATTCCCCCCTGCCCTTTTATGTTTCCTTCAGAATATTTTTTGGGAAAGTTATTTTTCCATTTCTTTTTCATGATTTTTTTCTGTTTTTTCCCCCCAGGTCTTCACATCTTCAGACATGTCACAGGAATACCATGACTAGGTCCCCTGCTCCTTTTGCTTTCCCTTTTATTCATTTATTTATATTATTTAGAGAACTTCTATGCTGCCCCATTCGCCGAAGCCTCGGGGTGGCTCACAATCATAAATAAATAAACACAATATAAAACAGTATAATTTAAGTCGCCCTGATAGGCTGGACGTCCACATGGTGGGCATGTTGTGGGCGGAGCCGGCTGGTGCTGGAGGTCAGACTAGATGGCCCGGGAGGTCCCTTCTGACTCGCTCTGTTTTCTATGTTTCTATGTTTCTATGTATTAACAATTAAAATAACGTTTGAATAACCTCTCTGGGGAGTGCATTCCATAGATTGGGCACCACTGCAGAGAAAGCCCTCCTCCGAGTACTTACCCTCCTAATTTCCTTCATGGAGGGTTCCCAGAGAAGGGCCTCTCCCACTGATCTCAAGGGGTGGGCGGGCATATATGGACGTAAGCGCTCCTTCAGGTAACCAGGACCCAAGCCGTTAAGGGCTTTATAGGTCATAACCAACACCTTGAATTGGGCCTGGACTTCAATGGGGAGTCAGTGAAGCTGAGGGAGAACTGGAGTCACGTGAACATAACGCCCAGTCCCCGTCAGCAGCCTGGCAGCTCTATTTTGAACCAATTGAAGTATCCGGACCGTCTTCAAGGGCAGCCCCATGTAGAGCGCGTTACAAAAGTCAAGGCGGGAAGTCACCAACACATGTGTCACTGTCGCCAGGCAGTCATTCTCCAAGTAGGGGTGCAGCTGATGGATCACCCAAAGCTGAAAGAAAGCGCTCGCCACCGCTGTCACCTGAGCTTCCAGTGAAAGCTCTGGGTGGAGGAGCACTCCCAAGCTGCAGACATTGTCCCTAAGAGGGAGTGCAACCCCATTCAGGACTAAGTTCAATTCCCCTTCCCCGAAGCCCGATCCACCAACCAACAGGACCTCCTTCCAATTACCAGCTCCATATGGTGCAAGTGGAAAGAGTTATGCAATCCCTGACTCAGCACCACTTCCTCAATCTTCAAAGTAGCCTCATAGAGCTGTGCAAGATGCCACATCACATCCAGTTATGATCCTTACAGTAAAAAGAAATATGTGGACACTAAGGATTCAGTTCTAGCTTTGATGTGAAACTGCCATAGCACTTTCTTCCTTCAAAAACAAATTAAAACTGCTTTAAAAACTATCCACAAGCACTGTATTAATCACTATTCTGGTTCCCCTGACTAGAGATGTGAAATTCCCTTCCAATAAATTCACCATTATTGATCAACTCTTTTTGCTTTCCTCAGGTGTTTTGCTCAAGCAGGAACCACTAACATCACCTTACAATTTGGTTCAGAAAGAAATTGGCAACACTATCAGACCTCCTTCCCTCTCCTGCCTTCCTCCCCCCACCCCCAGCATCTGCTTCATTATTAAAATTTGGCCTTCTTTCACTCAAAGGCACCCCCCCCAAAGGGATAATCTTCCAGGGACCATATTCCACCAGTGTTCAGAGCGAGAACCAAAAGTAGGCAGGACCAGTCTTTATCTGGACACCCCCTTTCCCTCTCTGTCTCTCCCTACACCCCCAGTTTTCCTCTCCACTCAACAGGCTGGCTGGAGAGGAAAAGCTGCTCTTACCAAAAGTCTGAACTGATCACTTGCAAGGGGCTTCTGAATGAGTCCAGGAGCCTCAGGCTGCCTATGCTGACCTATATATTTCTGTAACAAAATGGTCGCAAGCAGTGTTCACAGGCAGAGGTGATGTCATAGATAATACTTACGATGTCATAAAGAAAATTAGCAAACCAGTATGTCCTGTAGCCAAGTTCAGGGATGTGCTGAAGCCGCTTTGCCCCAGATACCCTGTCTTTAACCACTGAGCTTCCAATGGCGGCAGTAAGGATGGAGAACCCCAGCATGATGCACAGGGCCACTCCACACTGACGGACATTCTCCATTCTGGGATCCAGAAGAAATCAGTGTCATTCAGACAACAGTGCCATGATGTCTCAGCCCTTTCAGAGTACAATCATGTGCTGATTGAGACAGAAAACAGTCCTGTAAGTCCCAGCATCATCCCACCTTGCCCTACATGTCCTGGTATGCTGGTTGGGAGAGGCGGAGAACTGCAGAAGGTCTTTTTGCCCCATCTAGACATGCAGCTTTATTCTCAGACCTCCTAAGACCACTCAGTCAAATCCGTGCATGCAGCCATTCTCCCACTCTGTCATACACTTAGTATAGGAAAGCCTAGATTACACTGCTGTTATTTATACTGCCAAGTTCCCTGAACTTGAAATTTGCAAAACTCCAGAAGGTTTGAACCTTGAGATCTGGAGACAATGTTTTAATGAAAAATATCTCATTTTTCTCATATCTCTCATTGGAAGACTTCAGCTGTTACAGATGGCCTATAAATACATGTGTGTGTGTGTGTGTGTGTGTGTGTGTGTGTGTGTATTTTGAGCAGAAAGTGTGTGGCATTTGTGAGGATGCCAGTGTTGCATCCAGTAGCAGGCACATGGTTGGTTCCATTAAGCCAAAGTAATAGGAAATGGTTGTGTAGTTGCCCAACAGCTACATGCAGGATTCTTACTAATGCAGCCAACATGAAGATGCCGGAGCATGGCCCCCTACTTCCTAGTATCAATATCATCCTGAAGGCCAGCTGGTAGTCTTAATGAGGAGGATTCTCCAAGTGAACTGTCAGCCCCTCAGGTACCATATTAACTACTCAAGTTGGCTTCTGTTTTACATTTGCTACAAATCATACATCTTATCCTCGTCTAGAAGCGCTCCTCCATATGGACAGCTGTAGAGTGTGATTCCTGTAAAGAGAAAGCGACCATAACATATTTAAAGTGATGAGCTGTTGAATAAACCAAGCTTTACATCAGATTTTGATCAAGCTACATTTGAAGTAAGTGCTTCTCCCAAAAATTGCATTGTTGGTAACTTAGCATAGAAAAGTGCAACAGGATGGGTAAATCTCTCAATTTTGGTTCCATTTATTTTCTCAGTTTTCAATTAGGTTTGGTTCCCCTGAATTCTACTCCAGTGGACAAATTCTGTTTTTAAAAGTTACATGAACACTGGTATGCATTTTTGTGCATGTTCCTATAATTTTTTTCTGTGCTCTTTTTTGAAATTCCTGAATTTTGTGCACATTTTTTCTATGGTTCAGATTTTTGTGAGCTGTGTAGCTTATGGAACTTCACTATAGCTTACGGAATTTTGTGTGCACTTTCCTCTGATGTGCACTATTTGTGTGCACTTTTTTGAGTACAGAATCATAGCACAACATTAAAGAAAATATTAATTCAGATGCATAACTTTGTTCCATTTCACTCCTTGGTTTGGCAAACTTCAGCTATTAGCTGGTAAAGAAATTAATTAATAAATTAATTATTCCATATAACAATTCAAATGGAATGTATTTAGGATTTTAAACTAAGTTACTTAGTACAGAACATTGTTTTTTAAGCTGACAGGAAAACCAACAATAGTGTAAACAGTTTCCTGCCCTCCAGAAATCTGAAATACGTTGTTGTTGTTGTATTACATTGCATTTCTACACCTCCTGTAGCCAGAGCTCTCTGGATGGTTCATAACATTTTAAGTCACCCATCCAGATTTCAACCAGACCCAACCCTTCCTAGCTTCCAAGGTTAGCCAGGATCAGGCACTTCCGGCTACATGAAGGCCTTGGAGCACTGATACCTATTTTTCCCATCAGCCATCTGGAAAACATCTCTAAGCTTTAAAACAGAGATCCAAATAATCATCATCATCGAGACTACATGTAAGAGGTAAATATATTATCAATGTAAAGTAGGAATTACTCAGGGTAATTCTACCTGGGTAACTGGTAAACTATGGGGTATGTTCACAGTACTGCTTAGAATTTCAAGAAGCACTGAGAGAGAGAAAATCTCAGCATAGTTTAGCAAATTTAGCAAACAATTTCCTTCTGGAGCTGTCTTTTCTGTTTCCTGCATTTCCATCATATAACTGTTCCTGATCCTTTCTCCCTGTATTTTCCCCAGCCCCACTTAGAAATGCTGGAGATTGAGCCTGGAACTCCCTGAGGGCAAAGCATGTGTTCTGTACCACTCAGCTAGAAATAGCTCAATGATAGAGAATGGCCCTGTGGATGATGCTGGGCTGCCGGTCCCACCATCTCTCAGCTTTGGCTGTGCTGGCCTGGGATGACTGGCACTGTGATTTAACAATGCCTGGAGGACAATACCTTCCCCACCCCTGCAGTAGCTGACAGTCCATTATTGTATCTCGCTGCAGCCAAGTTGCTAGCCAGAAGCTGCTCTTATCCTCATTAGACCTTGAAACATTCTGATACCCATTTTCCCCATCAGCCATCTGGAAAACATCTCTAAGCATCAAAATACAGAGCAAACATTATAGAACATAATAATATATTTATCATAATCTTAGGTATTCTTTTTGTGCCCCTGTTAAGAACATGCACCAGGGTGAGGTGTCCCCATCTCTCCATTCTGGTTAGAATTACCTGAACCCAGAACTAGCTGCTTTTAAAAGAAAGAATGCACCTATAGAGTGAGACATCTGCTTCTTCTTTTTTTTTTAAGTAGACAAGAGGGACAGGTTATGCAATGAATCATTAGTGGGTTTGTTTAGTGCAAAAGATAATAAGGTGCATATGAGAATTTGTATATATTATGCTTACTACCCTCTTATTGGTTTGCCATCCAGGTTTCCATGGCAATCTAAATGGATGGGTATTCGATTGAGTTTTTAGAGCACACCTGTGGATTTTCAATGGAACAGGGTGATTTCTTGGTGTGGAAATAAAAATGTATGTAATAGCTGCACTGAGAGTGTTAGAACTGAAGGATTTTATTTTAAAAGGCAAAACGCCTCTCTCTGATGAACAATTCTAAACACTAATGTTTTATGCTGAACTGTGTATTTCTCCATCAAGTTCTCAGATACAGCAACATCTGAGAAACCTTGCCAATGGATTTTAAAAATCATTACATTTCAGTTGGTTTTGTTAAACTGAATTTTTTTTTTCAAATGTGTACATCCATGGAAATACAGACAGTCCCCAGGGTATGAGTCTCCAAGCTATGAATAACCCATACTTACAAACTGCCATTAAAAACACTGTGGAAAATCATCATCATAGAGAGGGAGGAAGAGAAGAGGGGAGGCCTCTGAAGCTGGTCTTCCTGCCCCACCATCCAGAGAGGGAAATCCCTCCAGCACTTCCTTGCTGCAGAGAGAAGGCACTGGTGAATTTGGGTGGGGGTGGGGAGCTAGGGATATCCACAACGTTTCCACTTTCACAGGGGTCCTGTACTCCTAACCCACACGAATGTGGAAGACCAACCATCCATGGTCCAACTTACATATAAATTTGACTTAAAGATGATTTTCCATTTTCGCAGGACTGGAACTTGTTTGTAATCCAAGGACAGCCAGTATACACCTCCTATGCTGTGTCACAGCCAATCATTCATGTCCTAATCACATCTACTCTACACATGACTGCATTTATAGGTTGTATGGCAGTTCTGTTCAGCTGGTTCAGAATGTAACTGCCCAGTTGCTTATAGTGACTTAGCAATCAGAAAACATACCACTAATTCGGTGCTAGCTGCATGGGTTATCACTGCATTTCCAGGCCCAATTGAAAGTGCTGGTGATCAGGTTCTTGGAAAGACCACCTGCACCTGTATGAACTTACCCAAGTTCTAGGATGGTCCATGGAGGTCTTCCTTTCATGCCTGGTTGTAAGATCTATCAGGTTAGCAAGCAAAAGTGATAGGGCCTCTTCTGTGGTAGCCCCATCCTGACTAGCTTGAAAAAAGCCTTAAGGATTTGGATGTGTCCATCCACTTTGAACTGATGCTGCCACATACATTTTGTGCTACATTTTATAGTTTTAAACGTTTGCTGTTATTTTGCATTTTTATAGAAATTAGAATGGAACTTTAATGCAGTTATTTGACTGAAGTATATGTGTTTATATATAAACATCATTTTTTGATGTTTTTACTTTGCTAATTGTGCCGAGAAGGTGTTTATTCTTAAAGGCAACAAATAAGGACAGCAACAATTCATAAAATCATTATGATGCACAATAGTAATTCATACATTATGCAATTTTTGATGGAATTGTCAACATGCTTGAACATTTTAGAGGGAAAATAATGGAAAATATTTGGGTTGGTTATGCTGGGATGGCTAATCAGTTTAATTTCCAAAGCAATTTATGTGACTCCTGGTGGCTCTACCAAATTTTATTCCAGAACAATAAAAACAAATTTAAAATTGCCCATGTGCATGGTTCTGTCATATAGTACAAGAGTACATGCACCATGTCTCTGTAAAGCACTTATAACCAGATGTCACCAATTGCATTATGCAGAAACTTGCCCACCTGTGAAGGGAATGGATTGTCCTCAAAATTACTTTTTATAAACTGCTTCAAGTCCTTCTGACAAAAGAGATTGAAATCTTCCAAATATATAGTGAGAGTCCAGAGAACAGAGTGGCTCTTGAGAAGAACAGAAGTCTGTCTTGAGGCTACAGGATTCTCTTACAACCAAGGAGAGCACAATTACTGAATAGCTTAAAGGTCCAATAAATGGAGAGCCTTTGAAAGTAGCTTAGAATCCACTGTCGTCTATCAGAGACCAGGGAAATGCTACATTTATCATGTCAAAGAAGACATATCTAAGCCAACTTTGTTGAGAATTATGGAGAATGCCCCCAGAGAAAGGCAGAAAAGGCTGGACAGGATTTTGGAGCTGTTGTTTATCTGTGTTTCTCTTCTCGAGGGCAACTCCCTATTCTTCTCTTTCCCTGTGAACCCTTAGGGAAAACAATCACTAAAAATCAGCAGAGATAAATAAACTTCTACAATCGTACAGCATTCTAAGACCATGGTTGCCTACAATTTTGACTTATTTAAGTCTATTTTAGACTTCTTTTGATGTGATGAATAGAGGCATATGTTACACTATCCTGAACTAGTTTCAGAAGAAATGCTTGCTTTAAAAGAACCCTGAGAACTTCTCTACCTCAGGACTAAAATCTCAGTAGAACCATTGGCTGGGCCCTGCAGTGTTCCTTCCTGCCTGATACAAGCTCATGGAACTTGCTTGGCAGGAAAGGACCATTCAGGAGGTGAGGAAAGAGGTCTATCCTTCACCCATGGCCACATTTCCCCCATGGGAGTGGTCTTCTCCATGTCCTCAGATTTGGTTCTTGCAGTATCTTTTCTGCACTCTCATGGAAACAAATGGAACCAGTTATCCCAATGGGTTGAGGGAAAGACTCTGAAGACCTCCAGGCTTCTGGGGACTCTGGTTGGACTGGTTCAGAAAAATTACCCAAGTTCTTCTATCTTTTTTTTTTAAGTAATTGCATAATTTCTAAATTAAACTAAGGGAATCATGGGAAATTCACTTATCCCTACTGATGATTCTAACATGTAACCTAAATTGAACTGGCATACACGGAGAGACAGAATGAAAGAGAGAGAAGAGGAAAAGTAAAATTTATATTCTACCCCAGAATCTGTTTAGCTATGGAGTGGTATAGAAGTGTTGAAAATAAATGGATAAATACCAGGAGGGCAAAAATGAATCTCTTGCATGTGGAACATGATATATACTAAATCTCTAGCCCAGAGAGAACAATTTTCAGCCCATAAGCCAGATTTCATTTGAGGGACCACACCCCACTGGTGGGGGGGGCTAAAAGTAAAAGGGGTGGGGCCAAAATACTAGCACATTTTAGTTCAAAGTTTTTACTGCCCAACATGAAGCTTTAAGAGAGG